AATTCCATTTCTATCCATTTACTCATGTTATTGATGTGGTCACAACTTGCTTCATGCATTTTAAGTTTTTCACCAATATTTTTCCAATCATTTATTCCATCATGTGCCAATTGGGTTCTGATACCATCATTCTTGAATAGCTTACAACAAAAGCAAAATACTTTATTCCAACTTTTTGAATATATCAACCATTTTCTATCATACTTCTCTCCATTAGGTAATTGTCGAACGTAATGTGTAGATGAGAAGTGTCGATTTGCTCCATCTTTCGAAAAAATTAGATCATTTTCTCTTACAAGGCCTTTCATTACAATTAAATCTCTTAAATTCGTATTCATATTTCCCCAATTTGCCGGATCAACGAGGTCAAGAGAAAATGGTTCATTATCTTTGTCGGTAGACACCTCTTCATTGATCACACAATGTCCTTCTTCAATTGTATTATTATTGTTGTCATTCTCATTTAACACTTCTTCAGTAGCTATGTCATCGTTGTGTGTTCGTTTACTATTACCAAAAAACTTATCAAGTGCTCCCTCTTGAGATTTAATCAACTTTTCAATCTTTTCCTTCCTTTTTTCTTTTGGCACATCTAGATTCAAATTTTCTCGTAGACATAATAACAAGTAAAGAGCGATAAAACCCGATTGATGAGTCCCAAAATGAAAGGATTCAGAAATTGGTGGACGCGATGGTGATTGAAGTAGACAATGCGGCTGTAAGATGATATGAAACATAATTAGAGCACTTTTATTCAAAAAATATGGAACATAATTAGAGCAATTTTATCCAAATTAAATTCAAAGAAAAAAAGACATAAGATGATAAGAAAATGAACTAAATAACTAATAAGATGTACTTTCACTTAATCACTTTCATAACCATTACTTGTCTTCAATCACTTGTATTTGCAATAGAAAATTAAAGCAAAATACCACATCATTTTCAAGAGCAATTCTATCAATTCATTATTGAAAAATGACCATTAACACTAAAATTTTCAACCATACATACATATGATGAAGATTATCCAGTCCACACGGAGAGATAGAATCACAGACATCTATCTATAGAGAGGCAACCCACACTAAATTTTGGAAAGTACTTTTCTGTCTATATGTAGTCTACCTTGAGCATGTTTTGGGAATGCTTAAAAGTTATTATGAATATGATGTTTGGCATGATAAGCAACTTAAACCAAAAGCGTTGTTTGTATAAAATTATAAGGCAACTAAACTGGGAGGTTATTAACTTTAGGCTGAAAGTAAATTATTTGGTTTAGCTGTAGATTCTGATGGTAAGTTGTTTAATAATTCAGTCTTGTAGAATTCAATTTTCAGAATGATTTTTCATGCCTGATATGATGGTAATTTATGTACCAAATTTCAGATTTTCAATGGGCATAAAGGAAATGCTGCTGTAATTTTTTCAAGGGATCATTTATTGAATTATGTTTTGGGTGCTATTCAGGGACCTAAGGGAAAGTACATGTTGGTTGTTGCAAAGAATCAAAATCACAAATTGCTCATAGGTTTTTCAAATTCTGGTCCCAATCACTTGTACATCAGTAAATGCTCTGTGTGAATCAATGACAATAGAATCAACATATCACCAAAATTAGAAACCCATTTCCAAAACATTAATAAGTTACTAACAAACCCAAATTAGCACATTGTACCACCTACTTTCTAATAATGAACTATAACTAATAATCTAGCTTCGGGAACATATCAAGAGCAGTACACACAACTTCAATTAAATTGCGAGCATGCTATAAGGCGTGTAGATTGTACACTGTGAATAAGACAATTTGCATAAGCTAACACGTACTCACTATAGATAATAGATTGTCAAAATATCATGAAATACAAATTAAAATCGCATTGCCTAGAAAACTTCCAATCTCATTTATTGATTCACGAAAACTTGAAATTAGTTTTAATAAGTTCAATCTATTCAATGCCATGGTGAAGTCTGGAACGTTGCAACTAATTATGAAACCAAAAATGAGAAATGAGAAATCATTACTCAAAGAGTCAAAGGCAAAGCATAAAAAGCAACTAAGCAAGCAAGGTCGGAATCTCTGATTGGGACTGGAAACCTACAAATTCAAATAATAAAAGTGAAAAAGAGGCTCAACCTATTCTGCCGTCTGTCGATGTTGTCGAAATTTTTGCAGTCGGACTGACTTGTCACCCCTCACTACCGGTAGATGGTAGTTTTAATTTAGGGATTAATTCTACCTTACCTTGTAGTGGAGAAGAGAAGACGAAGAAGATTAAAACGGGAAAAAATAATTTATGGAGAAAAGCGGTTGGTTTTCTTGTGCCAATTTTTTTTTCTTAACAGATGAGCCCCCTACAATTTGAGGCCCAAGGCAGTGGCCTCACTTGTGGTGGAGAAGAGAAGATGAAGAAGATTAAAACGGGAAAAAAATAATTTATGGAGAAAGGCGGTTGATTTTCTTGTGCCAATTTTTTTTTTCCCCTTAACAGATGAGGCCCCCTACAATTTGAGGTCCAAGGCAGTGGCCTCACTTGCCTTGGGCCAAGGCCGACACTAAATCCAAGATGAAATTCAAGATTTCAGTTGGGATTTTGGGGACGATTTCTAGGGTTCCAAGTTGGGGAAGAATTTGTTTTCCTTCTTTGAGGCTTCTTCAAAGAAAACGGGTTTTTATTTGTCATGAGATTTTTGTCCAGTTGGACTAATTTAACATATGTAATGTGCCATGTCAAATTTCCATCCAACACATGGCACATTCCGTTAATTGAAGTTGACAGAGATTAAATGGGTGATGGATGGGTAAGTATTTTAATAGATGGGTGAGCAACAAGTTATACTTTATAGTTCGGTGAGCAAGTAGTAATGTATGCTTGAGTTTGGTGAGCTTTGATTAAATTTACTCAACTTTGGGTGACTGTTTTTAGGTATTATAGTGAAATGGTTCATTCCATAATGTGTTGCTTGTATAAATATTAGATGGCTATACCATGTTAACTATAAGAATTGAGCATCCAATTAAGTACTATTGGTTGATAAAAGTCCAGCAGTTGTTAAAGGACAGAACCATATAAATATTAGATGCCTATACCATGTTAACTATAAGAATTGAGCATCCAATTAAGTACTAGTGGTTGATAAAAGTCCAGCAGTTGTTAAAGGACAGAACCAAGATAAGGTAACAAGGAATTCATACTGTTCTCATAATGCTTCTTACCTTATCAATACCGTATTTTACTACATTCACATAAAATAGTTTGTTGGTCCCACCCATCTCCTTCTACTCATTTCTTAAGTCTCAGCCTCAAATTCTCATTGTCCATTTATTCTCAAATATTCTTGGAAAGCCTAGCCTCAATCACTGTCTTGCTTGTAATTCGAAGTAATTCTTGAATAGAATTGGTCAAAGTTGAACGTATATTGAACGTTATTCTAAAATACTGTATAAGTTAAGCAAAAGTAATATTTGGCACAAGTTTGCTGAAGGATTTGATAAGTATCGGACAAATTAAAAAAAATAAAATTTAACAAAGAAATTTAAGAGAAAAAATTATACTCAAATTGTATTCTCAAAACTCAATTTTTATGATTCAATTTTTTTTGTAATAATGAAATACTATAAATGAACAATCTTTTTATATCATATTTGATACATAAAAATTAATTGTTAATACATAAATTCAAACACCCATTAAAATTTTTAGATACATGAATGTGAATAAATTTATCTATAATAACTCTATATTCATATAATTCAAAATTCGTCAAGTGAAAATTCATTGAATTTATGTTAATGTGAATGTTAATTAATAGAAAATTAATAACACAAATTTCATAAATAACAATAATTATGCAGTATATATTACATATTGAAAAACTAAAAGTAAAGTGTTATTGAAATAAGTGAATTGTAAGGAGGTTAAAATCGTCTAAAAAATATTCTCCATTGATGTATTATTTTAATATATTATAGATTTTAGCTTAATTTTGGTAAAAATAAATAGTTATATAATTGAATGACCACAAACTAGTATTAAACGCCGTGCCATTTCCCTCCTCATCTCTGGACATAAACGTTCATTTCTCTCTCTCTCCCCTCCCCCTGCCTCCCTCCCTCCCTCTAACAGTTTCAACTGTACTGCATAATGGATCCTTACAAGGTATCAAATGTTACTTTTCATGCTCTACCTCATTTTCTTACTAATATCGTGATTGGGCTTGCTGTCGAAATAAAAAACAAGAGTTGATCTTGCTTCACAATTTTGTTTATGGTATCCCTTTTATCAATACTGTTCTTCAGGGAGGAATCTGTTATTATCTGTTAATGAATGAATCCTACTATTTTTCTACATGCATCAAAAAACTTCCTCTTTTGTACGTTCCTATTCGTGATTATGTCCCTTCAAAAATCACCTTTGGGCGGGAGTTTCTCTTTCAACTATCTTATGATTTTTAAGAAAGACTAAACTCCAGAAGATGTGATTTTTCCAGTATTAATGAAATTATGTGTTTGCTGATAAAAGAATTTTGTTGTGTGCGACGATGTTCGTATTTAACTGTTATGTTATCATTTTAATTCAGTACCGTCCATCAAGTGCCTACAATTCTCCATTCTTCACTACAAATTCTGGTGCTCCTGTTTGGAACAACAACTCATCACTTACTGTGGGATCAAGAGGTATGTTATATAGTCATTTTTTATAGGACTTATTTAATTCATTTGATTTCATTCTGATTATGTCTGGGTTGGAACTTCTGGCTTGGTCTTGCTGAGTTTGCAACACTAATTGGATCTTCTAAGCATAAATGTATTCTGTTTCATGGCTTCCTCCTCACACACATTACAGGGAAGCGCTTTCAAGGTTCATGATTATTGGGTTTTAACTTTTCAGAGAATCTCCGTCTATGGATACAACCTTTTACCTCTAGCAATCACTTTGGGAAGTACAGAAGCAACGTTTGTTGGGCTGTAATGCGTTGAATATGGTTATAAGCTGCAAACCCATTACTGATACAAATGTAAATGATGCGGGAAGCATGACTTGAATTTGAAATTGATTTAAGCAGAACTTCTGGATCGTCTATAAGCACAATAGGCCTAAGTTACACTCCTGCTAAATTATAAGTAGGATTTTCAATTGGGTGTTTGGGTTTTTTAAACGAATTAATTTCTTTTTGAGAGCGTCAAAAGATAAAATTTACGAACTTAATTTTTTTATTAATGGTTTATGAAGAATTTCTGATGCACTGTTGCATTTCATAACGTATGCTACTTTCCTCAAATCAGTTTATATACTTATCTGATAAGGAAACTTAACTTTTCTTATTTTCATATAGACTAATTCATATTTGAGCTACTTGATAGTCATCTGAAATCTGCTACTGAAAATTTTTCTACAGGGCCAGTTTTGCTTGAAGATTATCATTTGGTGGAGAAACTTGCCAATTTTGATAGGGAACGCATTCCAGAACGTGTTGTTCACGCTAGAGGAGCTAGTGCCAAAGGGTTTTTTGAGGTGACCCATGATATATCGCATCTTACCTGTGCTGATTTCCTTCGCGCTCCTGGTGTTCAGACCCCTGTCATTGTGAGGTTTTCCACTGTTATACATGAAAGGGGCAGCCCTGAAACTCTTAGGGATCCTCGAGGTTTTGCCGTGAAGTTCTATACCAGAGAGGTATTCAAGTCACCAGTTTTTCTTCTGTCAGTAACTGAGCTTTATTGAAAACATGAATGAAGTTTATCTTTTCACACGAATGGGGAAGAGGTTATTTGTTATGATTCAGCAAATTAGGAGTTTTTCAATTTTCCTCATTAATATATGTGTGTGATACTCATTTTCCAGAGTCTTAAGCATGCCCTTAGCTCACTTGGAATCGTATTGCAGTCCATGGATGAATTTCACCATTACAATTAATCTGCAAAAGTAGGGAGTATTCTAGAAGTGGCCATTTATGAAAACAACCAACACTTAAAGAGAACCTGTACATTTAAATTTATAGTCTCATTTTCAAATTAAAAATCAATAAAACAGTTTTCTGTGATACAGCGATTAATGAGATTTGAGATAACTGCTTGTTGATTGAAGTTTTTCTGCAATACAGTAATTCAATAAGGTTTTCTGTCGTTTACATTAACTGCTTTTATTGATAAAAGTTCAGTTAAATGCTAACCTTTCACAGTTCCGTTCTCCGTTATCAGGGGAATTTTGATATGGTGGGGAACAATTTCCCGGTCTTCTTCATTCGTGATGGTATGAAGTTTCCAGACATGGTTCATGCTTTGAAGCCAAACCCAAAATCCCATATCCAGGAAAATTGGCGAATAGTTGATTTTTTCTCCCACCATCCAGAAAGCTTGCATATGTTCACTTTCCTTTTCGATGATATTGGTATTCCCCAAGATTACAGGCACATGGAAGGTTCTGGTGTGAATACCTATACTTTAATTAGCAAGGCTGGAAAAGCACATTATGTGAAGTTCCACTGGAAACCCACTTGTGGAGTAAAGAGTTTATTGGAGGATGAGGCAATTAAGGTTGGGGGATCAAATCATAGTCATGCCACTCAGGACCTGTATGACTCAATTGCAGCTGGAAACTATCCTGAATGGAAGCTTTTCATCCAGACAATTGATCCTGACCATGAAGATAGATTTAATTTTGACCCACTTGATGTGACCAAGACTTGGCCCGAAAATATAATTCCCTTGCAGCCAGTGGGTCGTTTAGTTTTGAACAAGAACATCGACAATTTCTTCAACGAGAATGAGCAACTGGCTTTCTGTCCTTCTATTGTGGTGCCAGGCATTTACTACTCAGATGATAAGCTACTCCAAACTCGTATCTTTTCCTATTCCGACACCCAGAGGCACCGGCTTGGACCTAATTATCTGCAGCTTCCAGCAAATGCGCCCAAGACTTCTCATCACAACAATCACCATGACGGTTTTATGAATTTTATGCATAGAGATGAGGAGGTTCTCTATCTTCCCTCTCTCCTTCTCTCATTTTCTACTCACACGCGTGCACACAGCGATAAATCTCATAAAACTAAGTTCCCTAATGACTCGAATTTAGAAGCTCGAGTTGTTGTATAAAGTCAACAGCATGACTTTGAGTTTCAGCCACATTTTCACTTTCAGTTTCTCTATGTGTACTTAGTGTAAATATCCCCTTCAACCCAGTTGATTTCGATTGAGTGTTAGTTCTGTATTATCTTATGGAGTTTGGTTTTAGGTTAACTACTTCCCTTCGAGGTATGATCATGTAAGGCACGCAGAGAGATACCCCATTCCTCCTGCAATCTGCACTGGCAAACGGGAGAAGGTATTTTTCTTGTCACTTATATTGAATTAAGGAGGTTGAATAAGAAATTATAATCTAGAGTTGGACAGTTAATGCATAACCAGGTCAATGCCAATTAGGCTATTAAAGTAAAATCTCTTAAGTGGTGCTTTAAGAATTCTTATTTCAGTACCTAGTCCAATTTTGCTGATGTGGTTTCTTGAAATGACTGCTAACTGAATATGGATGTCTAAATTTATACTTTCATGTTCACAGTGTATAATTGAGAAGGAGAACAATTTCAAGCAACCTGGGGAGAGATATCGTTCCTTCGCGCTGGACAGGTTGTATTCTT